GACTTGTAGTGATCCGCCTGTTTACAGTCTCCCAAGAGCTGGGATTACAGGTGCAGGCCACCATGCCCAGTCTCAATTGCAGTCTCAGTGTGACCCAGGGGCGCGGCGGGCACAGCAAGCCCGGGGAGAGAATCCCCAGCTCCTGCACCTGCTTGCCCACACTTTAATCTGCTGAGCTATTTGGCAGGACCTTGCTTTTATGTTTAACTTTGAATTAGCATCTTGTTAAATCACAAAATTGCCAAGGCTAGGCTCAAATTTCTGATCCTCTTGCCTTAGTCTCCAAGAGTGCTGGAATTGCATGCCTGTGTCACCAGGCCCAGCCTGTGTAATTGGATTATATAATTCTGCACCCCTCCGATACTGGGGATTGAACTCAGGACCCTGTGTTTGCCAGGCAAGCACTTATTTTACTGAGCTAGCTCTTGGGCCCAATAAAATTCTTTATTTATTATTGCATGGCAAAAGTTCCCTAATCACCAGTCTGTAAATTGGAGACCCAGAAAATCCAGTCATGTAATTCACTGTGAGTTTAAAGTTCAGAGAACCAGGAGTTAACAGAGCAGATTCCAATCGAGGCCTAAGGGCCTGAGCCCCGCAGTGGTAATGAGAGCAAAAACGTAATGCTCCAGCCAAGTAACATGCTAGGAAGCGTGGAGAACTTCTTTCTTCACATTTTCTTCTGTCCAGACTTTCAGAAAAGTAGGTTAAGCCTACCCTGAACACCCTGTAGACCCTTCCCTAAAAAATACAAAAACAGAATTTTTTTTTTTTTTTGTGGTACCAGGGATCAAACTCAGGAACTTGTGCTTTCCAAGCAAACATTTATTTCACTGAGCTATCTCCCCAGCCCCCTAGAAATACACTGCCCTGCTTTGCAGGAGTTTTTGTTTGTTTGTTTGTTTTTGTTTTTGTTTTTTCTGGAACCAAGGATTGAACTCAGGCCCTTGCACTTGCCAGGGAAGCATTTATTCCACTGAGCCGTCTCCCCGGCAAAAATACAAAAACAAACAAACAAACCATAAGCATTTGAAGTTCCTTCAATCATCAAAGAAGAGTATTTGACAATATATCCAAGACACAGGATTTTATTTTATTTCATTTTTATTTATTATTTATTTGTTTATTTTTTGGCGAAACCGGGGATTGAACTCAGGCCTTTGCACTTTCCAGGGAAGCACTTATTCCACTGAACCATCTCCCAAAGCCCTCAGAAGTTTATTTTAAATGTATTTAGTACAGGGTGTACAGGGCCTGTTACACAGATGGGACTCCTAGTGATACTCCTGTTTTCAGCTTCAAGATCTGGGATTACAGGCACGTACTACCATATCCAGTCTTATTCGCTATCTCAGTATGCCCCAGTGGTGGGGCCAGCACGGCCTGCCACGGATCGAATCCCAGTCCCTGCTAGACACAAATTTTATAACTAGAAAAATACCTAAAAGTATCATATTTAGAGAAGAAAACTGAGGCTGTAAAATCTCTTAATGATAAAGCTTAGAGTACAAATACTAATCTTTTTCAATTTCGGTTCTTGAGATATTTGTCTAACCTCATAACTTTGGTAAATGTAAAAAATTATGGCATAGTCTTTTCAGTAATTGAAAGAATTGAGAAAGCACTTTTGGCTGATGAAAGGAGAGGGGGAACATATCTACTACTCAGAATTCTGGTTGTACTATATTGAGACAGTCAATCAAAATCTCCTTTAATCACTGCTGTCTGTCAGCTTTCCTCAACCTGTCTTGGAAGTTACTGTCAGTCAATAGAACACAGTTCTGGAATACCCATCTGCTCTTCTTCATCTCACTACCAGAGGGATTTTCAGCATGTTAGTTGGGTGAGAGGCTCATAAAATTCCTGTTTGTTCTGACCTGTTTGGCCTTGTTTCTCTTCTCCAGGGAGAAGTTAGCCTTCCTTTTGGATAGACTAAGTTCATCTTTCACTCGATGACATCATCTGTCCAGTGCTCCTCCCCTTTAGTGGTGTCAGTGGGCTTTGTCTGAAAAGCTGGTGCTATGAGTGGTTAAATCTGTTCCTCTTCACAGAAACATCCTACAGATGTTGTACTGGCATTGCGGACCGGATGGGTATTACCTTGCATACATACATGTCTCCATAAAAATCCAAATCCTTTGGTTTGGTGGGAGGAATTGCAGATGCTCAAGTCTATTTCATTGTGTATAGCTGGGCTTGACAGACTGAAGTCAAGAGGGAAGCTCTGTCCTGGTTTTTTCCTAGTCCTCATGTACTGTTATTGTTCTTCTGATTTGAATTTCTTCAGTCCTATGTTTAGGTACTAAAGTCCTCATCTTCTCCTTTCCCCAAAGCTTGTTATAAAATTTGTTGCTCTAATTTACATCCTATTAGTCTTTTTATATGACCGAAAGGGGGTACTTCTCAGTAGCATCCTCTCACACACGTGAAGACAAGGAAACTGGTACTTCAGAGGAACGTGAGCAGGTCTCCTCGACCATTTGTGGTCCACAATGTAATGCTTTAAGCTGTTTCTGTATTCATTCTTTTTTTGCTCCCAATGCCCTCAGGTCAGGTTTGGCTGGCTTGAGTCCTGGGGATCGAACCTCAGCAACCTGAGCCTGACTGCTTTGTTGAAGGAGCCACTTAAAGAACTGAGCTAAGGGGCAGGCCCACTGTATTCATTCTTTATCCAAGAGTGGTAAGTGGTAAGTCCTTTAGAAATCAATATGTTATGAGAGATGGCCTCGCCTGGGTCATCTATTTACTTTGAGCCTGTGTAGTGTTTCACACTCCTCCTAGAGCCTCTGCCTAGAGCCTCTGCCTACAATTTCAGGCCACCAGAAATGTTAGCAGCTTTTTGTAAAATCACAAGCAAGCTTCCTAGAACTAATTGCCTGCAGGGTTCTGAATAGAATGTTTACTGGGTAACTGGATCTCCGCAGATACCTTAGACACCTCCTTACAGTAACAGCGAAAGCCTGATAACTGGGAGCCAGGCAGAGACCAAGCCTCTTCACTCAGATTTCCAAGGTAATCAGTCACTTCATCCTCAGTCCCAGTGTGTCCAAATGTTGGTGTCTATAGGTGATGGCTTCCTTCTGTTTAGATCTTTTGTTTTGTGGTCCCCTTCATGGCCAAAAAATGGAGATTTTTGTAATTCTACCAGAAAACTATGGTCTTCAAGCAAACAGGGCCATAATCTTATTTGGCCATAATTTAATTCATTGCTATCAATTGCATGAGAGAAAAATCTTGGGTTTTTTTTTATACAGAATAACTTGATTTATAAATTTAGTGTTAATCCCTCAGCATCTCAGATAGGCAAGAGACAGACATCTATGTTTCCATCTACAGATCACAGAAACCAATGCTGTGATTGCAGCGTAAGAAAGCCTCCAACCTTATCTTCTTTCCTGGCTTATAACTAGTAAAGTGTACAAAATATATTATGTACCCTGTTACATTCTCTGCTTCTGTCCTCCCCACTTCCATCCTATGATCCTTCACGGCTCCTCTTGCTCTTCCTCTTTGGAATCCCTGGGCTTTCTTTCTAGGTTTCCATCAAGATATTAAAGTGACAATACCATCTCTTGGATTCACATAACTTCTCTGTAAAACTGAGATGAAAGTTGATCTAGGAATGGCCTGTTAATTCCCACATTCAACTAACTGTGAACTCTTTCTAGAGACATGCTACTTTCTACATATGTTATCTTATAAAGAAGGAAAGAATTTTCTTCCAGAATTAATAAGCCTAACATGTTTGATTAAAGCCGGCTTTAACATGATCATTTTCTCTGAGGGCACAGATGTGCTTTATATAACTGAGCAATTATTATTATTCCTTGAAAACCTGTGATATAGGAAGCACTTAAGTTGTGACAGTGTTCAAAACAGTGTTTATATCTACTAGAAATCATACCCTGCTTTATCATACTAGAGGGAAGTATGAAGTGGGCAACAATTTAAGTGGAGATTCTTTGAGGAAACATGAAAACTCGCCAGTTTATTCACCATGATTACATTATAACTTCTTATTTAATAACATGAATTTAGAACCCAATGAATGTATACAAATTAACAAATATTAAACATATCTGTATAAGGGCTGGTGTGATAGCTTAGAGGGGTAAGCATCTGCCTGGCAAGCACAAGGACGCAGGTTCGATCCCCAGTGCTGCATGCTTTGTTGGGCCCAGAACCTGGGGGGTGCCCTGCCAGCCACCAAAACTGGGCATGGTGGTGCATGCCTGTAATGCCAGCCCTGGGGAGGCTGAGACAGGAGGAGCACTACAAGTTGAACTGAGTATGGAGACACAGTTCAAATTTTTATATCAAGTAAATAAAATTTTTTAAAAACTATATATATTAATATTTAATTTGTAAAGACACTATGATTATTGCAATCTATATGAATTACTTTGCAGGTAGAGCTCTTTAAAAGTATATTCACCATATGTAAGGCATATCTACATATATACCGAGGCACATAGATGGCATGGCTTGATGTTCTTAATTCCAAGAGTCTCTGCATACCTGGTGATTCTGTCACTTACACACACACACACACACACACACACACGAATTTAGAGTAACACTTTCTGATTGTCTGCTTTACAAGAAAAGCTTTCAGAACACCTGTAAGTAGATGTCAGAATCAACTTTTTCAGAATTCTGAAAATTAAGGATTTACAACAATTTGAAGTGCATTATTCTACCAAGACACCAGGCAGCTCAGTCAGCAGAGTGTGCTTTTAAGCCCTCAAGCTCCCTTATTTCTATTCCCTCTCTCCTCCTGCACTGAAGCCTCACACTACAGTAGTTATACGGTAATGGACAGAATAATGTTCACCCAACATGTACATCTCATAATACACAAAGACAGAACTTCTGGTTCCTTACTTATCAATCGAATCTGAAGGTATAACCAAGCACAGATCTTGTTGTGTGCTAGTATTTCGTATTTTCTGTGTGGGATTCATAGAATCATAGTGTCCTTCTTGTGGAGACAAGGTCTTGCTATGCAGTTCAGGTTGGCTTTGAACTCACTTTGTGGCCCAGGCTGGCCTTACACTTGCAGCGATCCTCCTGCCTCAGTCTCCTTAGTGCTGGTGTTACAGGCTCGCACCACCATACCCAGCCAGCCACACTTACCCTTTTAGGAGGCAAGGTAAAAAGTAAAAGAAGAAAGAACACTGCATTCCGGACTTTGAATGCTGAGGAAGCTAAAGAATGGAGGCTGCCTTGTGCTGGAAAAGGCAAACAAAGAATTGTTTTTTCCCAAAATCCTTCAGGAAAAATAAAGTTAAGGAAATTTAAACTTCTAACTTTCATAACTATAATACAATAAGTGGGTGTAGTTTATACTACTAAGTGAAAGCAAAAAGTAACCAGGACTGGATGATTAAGTGAACTGTCAGCTCATCTAGTTTACCAAAGACACTAAAATAAGGACATGCATTGTCTAGAATGTACCCTGGAGAGATAGCCAGGAATGTGGCTAGACAAGCTTTTTCTGGTATTTCTGAAGCATCAGATTTTCAAAATATTCAATTATTCTCAAGGAATTGTCACTAAATGACTGATCTTGAAGTTCCTTCTAAGCCTACTGGCAGAGGCTGCTATGATTTATCTGACTCTGTGCTCCAGTAATGGGAAAGAGCAGCTTTTGAAAACAATCAGTGATAGCTATCAATAAAGCCATAATAACAGCTGAATTTGTAAGAAGCTCACCAAAATCTCTGGAAAGGAAAATCTGGATATGTGCATAAGGATATTTAAAAATTTTTGATATATTCCTGGAAATCTAGAAGGAAAGAGACATGTAGAAAAATAAGTGCAGAACTCCACACAGAGCTGGAGGAAATCCAATAAGGAAATAATCTCACCTTTGGCTGACGTTGACTGTGGAAGTGAGGAGAAAACTGTGCCAAGGTGGTGAATAGGTGCCAGGAACATTGAGAGTCTGCTTAGCAATCACAAGACCCTTGGAAGTCGTGGGAACAAACGTGTATGGAGAGCATTTAAGGGCAACAGTCTAATCAGGAAGTGAATTCTAAACAAGCTGACTGGGTGACATGTGTCGCAGAATACAGACGAATAAATTCAAGAAAGTCAAACAAGCAAAGAGAAAAACACAACAATAAATCCCAGAAAAGAAACACTTATCATGATCAGAGTAGTTATTTTGTACAAATATCTAGTTTTCAACAAATTATGCAATATCTAAAGAAATAGGAAAACGAGGCCCAAACACATAGATAAAAGATGTCAGCTACCCTAGGCAACTCAGACACTGAACTTAATTAGGAAAAAAATACAAAAGTTCCTCTCAGAAGTAAAGTATGCGAATGAGCTAGGCCTAGTGGTGCACACCTGTAATCCCAGCACTTGGGAGGTTGAGGCAGGAGAATCACTGCGAGTTTGAGACCAGTGTGGGTTACAAAGTGAGCTCAAGGCCAGCCTGAGCTGCATAGCAAGACCCTATCTCAAAAAGGCCAAAAGGGGAAAAATGAGAATGATATCTAGCCAAAAAAGATCATGTATGAATAGATAAATAAAAAGTATATCATGAACATATTTTAAATTGTAGCATTTTTTCTGGGTTTTGCATCCAGGGCCATTGCATCTACAGTTATTTTTACTTTTGGTTTTGAGTTGTAATCTCTCACTAAGTTGTCCAGGAAGGACTTGCACTTGCCATCCCCCTGCCTAAGCCTCCCAGGGTGCTAGACTTAAAAATGCGTGCTATGACACCCAAGCTTTTTTGTGTCATGTAATTAAAAAAAAACCAAAACCAGTAACATAAAACAGTAAATCTGAAGATGGTAACATGAAAATAAAGGTAGATAAATCATATAACTTATTTTAAAAGCATTTTTAAAGAACATTCTGTTTATATGAAGTCTGTAAGATATAGAAGATATGCTACCAATAACTATTCAAAAGATGGGTTTGGAACAAAGCTGTATTTGGCTAAGGAAATGACTCTAGATAGCAACAAGTCCAGAAGAATAACATAAGAGAAAGAATGAAGAGAGTAATGTAACCAAAGTTGTATACAATCATTGTGGTTGATTTATAATAAATGAGGGTATGTACATATGACATGTACAATAACAGCACCAAACAGAGAGAAGGGAGGTAACCTTATTGAAGTAATATTTATATCACTAGAATTAATTAATTACTTGTATATATATCACATGAAAGGTACTATGTACATCATAAATTATATTAACCATACAAAATATATAATAGATGTTATATATATATATATATATAATAGAACAATAAAGGATTAAAAGGCAAGCTTAGAGGAAATATTTTTTATGCAGATAAGAAAAATATATGAAGACTGAAAAAGCAAAAATACATGAATTCCACAGAAAACAAAAGAAAAAGTGGCACATGTAAATCAAATTATTATCAACAATAAATTTAAATATGAATTGATTAAAACCTTCAATTGAGAAAATAAGCTTAGCTGCGTGGCTAACTATACAAGTAAGCCTATGTTGTCTACATGAAACACACTACTGGTTCAGTATAAATAAAAGTTAAAAATGCAAGTTAGAAAAGATATAACATTAAAATATTTTTGGAGGGGGGTTGATACTATCAGAAAAAATATATTTTAAGATAAAATGCTACTAAAAATAATAGAAGAATTTTATGAGACTAATAAATTAATCTGTTAGTCCATAAAACAATAAAAATAGTTATTTACCTAATAGCAGAGTCTCAGAATTCATTCAGGAAATATTCTTAGAAATGAAGAAATATACAATTCAATAGAAACAGAAACTTCAACGTGCAATTTTCAATAATTGAACAGTCAGGGATCAGTAGAGAAATAGAAGATTTAGAGACCCAGTCCTAGCTCAGGTCTGGTGAGTGTGTGGGAGAGCTTCCGGCTACCCTGCACCAGCAGGACCTATTACTGGTCCCAGCCCAGGTGCAGCATGGGTGAGAACCTCTTCCATCCCTTTGGGATGCCCCCCACCACTGCAGAGCACCTCCCCCACCCT